GCGCCCGCGCGGGACCTCGTGTCCACCGCCCCAGAGACCCCACACATGGCACCCACAGGACCCACAGGCACAGCACCCTCGGGACCCCACGTGTGGCACCCCAGAGACCCCACACATGGCACCTGCCACACCCCTGGGCACAGCACCCAGCTCTGCCCTCATCCCTCCATCCCTGGCACCTCCTCACCCCTCTGGATGGGACACCACAGGGTGTCCTGGGCCTGGCACCCCCCCAGCTCCTCACCCCCTCCCCTGGCACCCAGTAGACCACAGCCCTCTGTGCCCCCAGCACTGCCCTTCCCTCGCACTGGGAGGAACCCACCCACCGTGGCCCGTCCTCCCCTGTCCCCGTGTCCTCCCCTGTCCCCGTGTCCCCGTCACCCGCTGCCCGCGGGCGATACCTGGCAGGAAGGCGAGGGCCTGGAGCATGCGGCGTTCCTGGGCGAAATCCACCATCAAGTGGATCATGTTATCGCTCACCTTGGCCTTGAGCGAGAGGCGGAAGGCGGGTGCCATGGCCACGCTGCCGCGGGGGACACGGGGACGAGAGTCAGCGCGGCCGGGAGCCGGACACCCACCCAGCCCTGACTGCTCACCCCCTGCCCTGCGCAGCCGTGGGGAGGTGGGGAGGGTGGGCAGAGCCACCCCAGCACCCACGGGGCCACCCACCACGGGATCCCGGCTGGGAGGAGGGTTAGTGGGACCGCGGGGCACGGGGGTGCCGTACCTATCCTTGATCTGTTTGGCAGCCTTGTGAGCGCGGCGGAAAAGAGGAGGAGAAAAAAAAGCAAGTGAGACAGCAGTGCCAGGAGCCAGCGCGGTACAGCGTGCCCGGACCCCCGCTCCGGTGTCAGCGCGGCAGAGCGTGCCCGTGTGCCCGCTGCGGTACCCAGCAGAACCGTGCCACAGTACCCCACGGCACAGCATCCCCGCATGCCTGCCACCGTACCCCACGGCAGAGCATCCACAGCGTGCCCGGACCCCCGCTCCGGTGTCAGCGCGGCAGAGCGTGCCCGTGTGCCCGCTGCGGTACCCAGCAGAACCGTGCCACAGTACCCCACGGCACAGCATCCCCGCATGCCTGCCACCGTACCCCACGGCAGAGCATCCCCGCCGTGGTACCCCCTGGCACCGCATCCCCGCCTCCCCGCC